GCCACCTTAGGTGTATGTGGCTGGCGCCTTAACCACTTGAGCCACAGGTGCCAAGTCATTACCAAGTTTTCAATAAGAAATTATTACAATCCTGCTGTCATCTCCATCAGATCCTTTCTGAAATAGTTTTTCTGTTTTTTTCTCTCCCACAACAAAAGCGTCTTAATTACAAAGAATTTAAGCTGTATACTATCTTCTCTATTGACAAATCCCTGAAGAGGCAGAAAGCAGCGAAAGAGAAAGAGAAAGAAAAAAACTCTGGTTTTGAAAATGCCTCATCACATTCCTATGAGCGAAGAATGACTCTTGGAAAATAAATGGAATCTGAAAGTAGAAAATTCATAACTAATTCAAACTGTTAACATGTCTAAAAATAAATTTAGAGCATCAAAATGAGTATCTTTACAATGACTTTTACATGTGAAAGGTTCAAAAGAGCTCTCCTCAGTCAGCAGGTTTTGAATAATAACCAATTGACCTCATACAGAACACACACTAATGGAATGTGAAGCAACCACTTTCTTTATGTTGACATAATCCCAATTCCACTGCTGCTTTGCAGACCAACCCTAATAAGTAGGGCCCTATGTATCCAAATACAGGAGAACCTCTGTAAATTGACTAAAAGGACTGTAACAAACTGGTCAATAGTAATCCTAGCATTCTGGGAGGCCAAGGCAGGAGGATCACTTGAGCTCAGGAGTTTGAGACCAGCCTGAGTGAGAGTGAGGCCCCATCTCTACTAAAAATAGATAAACTAGCAGGGTGTGGTGGAACATGCCTGTAATCCCAGCTACTTGGGAGGCTGAGGCAAGAGGATCACTCCAAGAGTTTGAGGTTGCCATGAGCTATGACACCAAAGCACTATATCCAGAGTGACAGAGCAAAACTATCTCAAAAACAACAACAACAACAAAAAAAATCTGGTAACATATAGAGAACGAGGGCTACTGTACTGATACATACATGTGGCACATGTCTCGTCTATGAAAATTAGGTCAACTTAATGAAGTGATCAACTATGGAGGTTCTACTGTAATTGCCAACACTTATGGAGCTAGGATGTGAGGCTTTCCAGATACTCATTACTAGTGGTCCAATACGCTCAGGATCCTTTCTAGTCTCCTAATCCTTATGCTAAGGCCACCTAGATGCCAGAGATTCCAAATTGGCCAATAGTGAAGCGCCTCCAACCCTTAGAGAAGTCAACCTTTAAGGATATGGAAGTTATGCTCTTCCTAGAACCTGAATTACTGAGTTTGGTACTTGAGCATCTGTACCAAATCTACTAGGGTAAAATAATTATTATGCACCCTTATATAATTTTTTGCATACTGTCTTGAGTAATTAAAACATTTTTTTTGAGGCTCGGCACCTGTGGCTTAAGCAGCTAAGGTGCTAGCCACATACACCTTAGCTGGCAGGTTGAAATCCAGCCTGGGCCTGCCAAACAACAATGGTGGGCACCTGTAGTCCTAGCTACTTGGGAGGCGGAAGCAGGAGAAACACTTGAGTCCAGGAGTTGGAGGTTGCTGTGACCCGTGATACCATGGCACTGTACACAGGGTTACAGATTAAGGCTCTATCTCAAAAAAAAATAATAAATTTTTGGCATAGGACTTGGGAATCCTCCCTACTTGAGTGTACTATGAGGTTAATAATGATGACAACTATAATATATTATGTGCTTGATATGGGTTAGACACTTCTTTATTTTTATTTTATTTTTTGCAGTTTTTTTCCCCGGGGCTGGCTTTGAACCTACCACCTCTGGTATATGGGACCTGTATCCTACTCTTGAGACACAGGTGCCACCCAGGCAGTTCTTTAAATGCACGACGTTATCCTTGTAACTTAGGTGTTATTATCGGTAGTTTATAGATGAGGAAATTAAGACCTAGACAGACTAAGAAACTTGTCTGAGAACATATGGCTTACAATTGGTAGAAACAGGATTGAAATTTTTTTTTATGTGTTTTTCCCCCTTTCTTTTTTTTTTTTTTTTGCAGTTTTTGGCTGGGGCTAGGTTTGAACCCGCCACCTCCAGCATATGGGGCC